TATATATATATATATATATATATATATATATATATATGTATATATATGTTTGTGTGTGTGTGTGTGTGAACTATTATGTGCTTTTATATATGTGAAGGCCTTTTCTTTTATGACATGACTGAAAACGATTTAATTTTTTTTTTGGTACAGGGACCTTCCGGTTTTTGAATCTACAGGGAAATCGACTAATTTAGAATCGAGCCGGGTAGGACCACAAGGGCGGCAAAGCTCTCCCTCAAGAGTTTTAACACTGCTTCATTCCCAGGGCTCGAACACGAGACCACTGGTTAAGCTGGAAGAGACCCAAACCATCTCATCCAAGCGCTTTTGGGTAAAAAACGATTTAAATTTTAATACCAATACAACCATATCAATAACCACATCAAACTTCCACTACTAAAATAATTTACAGAAAAAATAAAATAAAATGTGATCTCTTATATTAAGGGGTGTGTGCTCCGATATAAGTATGTGATTAGATATTTTGATTTTTTTTTTTAACCATAATTAATTTTAAAAAATAGGTTGAGTTATGTTTGAGTGAAATTTTGTGGTTGTATTAGAATAATATGAAAAAAAATAATAACTAAATCTGATTTGCCGTAAAAGTAGGAGAGAACTATTTGAAAGATAAGAGTAATTAAATCCAGTGTTTTAAAGGCCGCTAGGGGGCGTTCGACCAGCGCCTAGCGCCTAGAGGGCCTAGACAGGATCTAAGTGGCGCCTAGTCGGAGCTAAAATTATATACCTTATTTTTTATTTATTTTAACTAATACAAAATAAAAATATCTCAACTTATAATAAATTCCCTCATCTAAGTAAATAATAATAATATTAAAATATTTTAAAGAAAAATATGCAAATAAAATAATGTGATTAGTATTTAAGAAAAAAAAAAATAAAAAATTGCCGTCGAATCCGCCTAGGAGTGCCTAGGTCCGCTACGCCTGCCTAGGCGCCGCCTAACTGCCTGGCCGCCGAGCCCGTCAAGTCCGCCTAGGAACGCCTAATTAGCTGCCTAGGCACCGTCTAGTCGTCTGGCTGATTTTTTTGGTCGATTTATGCAAATAGGAGGCAGTCGGACACCGCATAGACGGGCCCGGCTAGGCCGATTTTTAGAACGGTGGTTAAATTATGTAAGTAGATAAATAGTAAATTAAAATTTGTTGGTGAAATGGAGTTCAACAACAAATTATATTGATAATACTGGACATAGTAAGACTGAATTAAATTTTAAGTTAAAAAATTTATTGGTAAAAACTGATTAAAAATTGTTTGGGCTTCTTATATCAAAGCACACCCTAAAGCGTCTTGCTTCGAATGTTATACTTGGTGCTTGCTTGGTT